TCATCAGATAACTGCTTTGAATCAATACAAAATCATTTTAAAGCCTATGTGATTAATTTCGATATATCTAACACAGCATATCAGTTTATTAAACCGGTTTTATCTTTATTTCGAGGAAATGCCGAAAATTTTTATCCAGATTTTTACAAATGTATCTTTGACAACATTGAATCTATTTTTATAGAATTAAATACACAGTGTTCCACCTTACTTGGATTCGAGGTATGTAACCATGTATTGTAACATCTTTCTGGTCAATCAGTTTTAGGTGATTCAATTTTATCTGAAAAATCTTGTGTACTTTCAAATAGAGATCAATCTGTTATTGCCTATCTAAGTGGGTATGTTTTTAGCACGTTATATCGTCGCATCAGGTTTTCAGATATTTTTAAGGAAGAATATTACCAACAGTATATGTCTATTTTACTTGCTGCCCAATATCAAGGAAGTGATGATTTGCCTGAGCATAAACTTATGAACACACGTAACAGATCAGGCTTATGGAAAATGAAAATTGAGGCAATATCCATTTTTATTACTGCTGAAACAACATTTAAAAATATGGCTGTAAAGTCTATCAATAAAATTGACAGTAAAGAAATTGTACTAACACTTCTCAAAGACACAAATATTTTATCAAATTTTTCCAAGATCAAAAGTGAAACTGATGTTGTTGTTAACAAAGAGGTTTGTTTAAATGTTCTTGAGGACATCTTGAATTTGTATGTAAGAGCAAGGACATTTTCCTACGTCAAGGATAATCTACAAGCTTATAAAGTTAAAGTTAAACAACAGTCAAAGTCACTGCGAACTTCACTAAAGAAGAAGAGTATTCAAGTATAGGTTGCACATTGGACAAATAGATACACTTACCTGATCTTAATATATCAATTTTTTTAAACAGCTATTTTCATAGCTACAAATGGCTAAAGACATTATGGTATCAGAATATTAATAATAATTTTTTGATAAAATAGAATTGCTGTTTTCATGAAATTACTCCAAGTATACAGGGTAATTTTAAAATTATTACTAGTAAAATAGTTGTCAATTAAAAGGGAATTTTTGTAAAAAAACAATCATTATTCATGTGGATCCTAAAGCATGTTAAGGAAAGAAAAAGCAAGAAAATTGTGTGAAAAAAGTGTATGTGTTCAGGGAGGGGGAAGAAGTTGCTATTAAGGTTTATTTAGGCTTTTCTGTTAATAACATCAATTGGTTGATGTTATTTTCAAAAATTGTTGATAAAGCGTTTGTATTGTAGTTTTGTATTTAGGGATCAGGGGAGAAGTTTATAAAACTAGATGTAATTTTGTAGGGGAAGCCTAGTAAAGCTCTGGGCTACCTAGGGGAAGCTCTGTAAGTTTGATAAGAGAGGAGAGAAGAGGAAAAAAATGCCTTAATACTGTTGACATAATCAATGGACATTAGGGGAAGGGAAAACTTTAAAATTATTAATCTGTCTTTAAAAGGCTCTTGTAAACTGCCTGTTTTCTTATTTAAATAGAGAAAAATGTTGAATTAACAAATTCCTACAATAAATTTAGATTTTAAAGTTTTGAATTTTTTAATGATAAATAATGCCTGCGTATGCTAGAAGGTGAAGAAGGGTTACTTTATTTATGATTTATTTATATAGGGGCTGTTTGAATAGTACGTGAGAGTCTTAAGGGGAGGGGGATCAAAAAGTATTACTTAATGTCACATAGGGGAGGGGATAGCTACAATGTGATGTGCACATTTAAAAAAATTTAAACTATCATCACAGTGGAATTAGTAGAATTTTTATCGGAAAATTGCAAAATCGGATATATTTTAAGTAAAAATGTCATTTTTTATTGCCCCTCCTCCTGCGCGCTTAGATCTAGAATAAATTTCTTCCCCCACCTTGTATTAGGCTCCTTAGAGTAAGATATATCTATCAATACAGCAAGATATATATTAAGGGTGTCCCCAAAACGTACATTGCATATCGTTGCATGCTACCTGTTCACTTTGCCAATAATGTGTTTTAATAATTTGTGGCTATGAAAATAGCCGTTTTTAATGAAAACCCTATTGTAATGAAGTTTTTACTCGCTTTCTGCATGGTACTGGTTCTTCGTTTATCTCAAAGTGAATATCTTCATGGGAATTTCCATCTTTTATTGGTCTGAATACCTTTTGATTTCGAATAGTATTATCGTTGTAGCCAAAATCACGGACAGATGAATTATCCTTGCGGGAACCAATTTGGCGTTGATGTCCAAAATAATTTTCAAGGGGATCTTGACAAAATCTTTTGTCAATACATAAGATACGCCATTAGATAGTAAAAATGTTATCAACTCAACAGCAGAATTCACTGTAATTTTAATTCCTTCATAGGTTTGCCATGATATAAACATTTTACCTTTGTCATTTAGAGTAAATTTACCTTGACGGGTATTAATTGAACTTATCCACTTTTCCAAATATGGCAACAATTCTGCTTTAAGCCAGTTCAAACGATTATCATTAAGAGAAGAAAATGGAACTAAAAATGGTTTTAACTTTTGAATTGATTCATAAGGATTACTAATGTTCATAATATCAAAAAAACTGTCAATCATTGAACAAAAGTTTGCTGTTGCAAATGTATCTGGAGATCCATAGTTAAGAAGGACTTTACTTACAGTAGTGCTTAAAACTTGTGCTGCCAATTTGACATTCATAACAGAGTAAGATGACAATTTAATGTGGTCATACGATAATTTCGGGAGTAGATGTAAACCACATATTTGATCTTCTTTAAAAATGTCTGCGATGTGACTCCATAGAATGTATAAACCATCATTCCACATGTATCTAGTACATTTACCAGAGCCTGAGCTGTAAATACAGTTTCTTGTTGTTTTTAGAAGATGTGGAGGGTCAGCTATAAAGTAAATATACCTTTTAGGACAGTATAAATTTATTGTTTTATATGTGAGAACTACATCCTTTTTAACATTCGAATTAGATAAGCGTGAATGCATTTTTAAAAATTTTCTGTTCGAAGAAGCGCCATTTTAACTGATTGTTTATAATTCAAATAAATATCATGCGTATCTGGTAAGTTCCAAGCAAAAGATCGTATTGTAAATATAAGGCTAGGTTGAACATATACTTCATATTGGGGTTGTAGGTGAATGTTGTCTACTTTAAAAACTTTGACTAAATCTTTCGATATAACAAGTTCCCATGATTCCAATTTTAGTATGCTCACTCGATCTACAAACTCTTGAAATGATTTATAAAAATAATTTATATGATTTTGAACTTTGCCTGATTCATTGCAATCATTTTTTGACGTAATACTTAGTGTCGAAAGCCTTGTATAAACTTGTATAAAAAGCCTTTAATAAACTAAAAAACAAAAATAAAAAAAATAAATAAAAAAATAGAGAAAAACTAAGCTTATATTATTTTGAAAATTTTTACCTGGTAGTTTGAACACTCTTTATTGGTAAATTTTGTGAAGGTAAAGTTCCTGGTATAAGTCTTGCTCTAGTTGAATCTATATATATATATATATATATATATATATATATATATATATATATATATATATATATATATATATATATATATATATATATATATATATAGATTCAACATATATAAGCACAGTAGTTAAGCTTACTTCTATTAACTTCATCTTCTTTAAAGTGTCTCTCACAAATATGCAAAGATTCACTGGCAATTTGCTTCCTTAAAGCTGAATCAATTAAACGATCTTTTGTTATAATCTCGCTCAGTTTTTTTCTCCATTGAACGGTAAAGTCATCCTGACCTTTAGGAAGACTGAGTATAGCTATTCCATGTGAATAACGAGAGGTATGACAACCATATACTGAACAATTTGCTCCAGGCATTGTATTTTGATTCAAGATCTCTAAAGAAATTTGTTTTGTTTTGCACCTTAAAGTAGGCTGGGTACTAACGCGGATAAGAACCTAACATCAACGGGAAAACCTATTGTTTTCAACCCGTGTTTCCAGACATTTTTATGACTATGCTCTGAGCAATATAGTATAATATTTAAATCAAATTAACTGCGGAAATGAATTTCAATAGACTGGTTGCTTTGCATATACTTTGACAAACAACGTAAGTATATTATTAATTTGAAACCGGAATGTTAATTTTTCAAATGTCTTCACCAAGCATCTGCTATGCATTAAGTGTTTAAAAAAATCAAATAGTAAAGTAAGTAAAATAAAATGTATTTTAAAATTTTTATTCATAGAAAACATAGAGAGTCTTCAACAAAAACTCAAGTAAAGATCATATTGCAAATATTGGAAAGGCCTCTCCATTGGTAAATAAATGTCAAACAATATGTATAGAGAATGCAAGCAATTGTTAAGCAGTTCTTTTTATATATTTATAGTATATACTGTACCTGTAATCTTCTTGTATGTTCACATTTTTAGCATTAATTTGTATATTTATTTAGTTATGTTTTAGTTAACATAATCTATTTAACTTAATAATTTAATGTTAAACTAATAAACTGAAAAAAAATACAATTGACATTATTTCGCAAACTAAAGTTTAACGTTTACATTTTGTTATTAAAAAACCTATTATACCTAATTTTTATTTTCAGGTTTTATTTTAAGCTACTTTTAATTTTAGTCTAAATAACCATAGCTAATAAATGCCAGCAACTGCTCTTACTGTTTTTCCAAAAATTATTTTTAGCTTATTTTCTAACACATTTATGACTATTAATTATTAGTATTTAATAAGACTTTTAACTTTAAGATTTTAATTATAATACAAACATTCAACTGTATGATTTTAATTATGACATTTATATACAAACATTCAACTATATGAGATTAATGAGCTAGCAAGTAAAAACACTTACATACAATAAATGTAGTTTGATGAGAGGATAAGAATATTAACTCTTTAAAGTTTAGTAAATATAAGAATATTACCTTTTCTAAATAAGTTTTATCCTGTTTATTTATTAATAAAAATTAATTTTTCTTCTTATTATTATTTTTCATTGTATTTAGTTTTCATTATTATCTTGTTATTGTTAAAACTACTAAAATTTATGTTTATTTCAGAATAATAAAAATGAATAAACAAGAGAAAAATCAATACTTGAGGGAATGGCGCCAAAGTAATTAAGACGCACTTGTAAATGAAGAAATTGACTCACATCACATATCGACTCTATTAATAATATTAATAGAGTCGAGAGTTGAATTGATTTCAAAAACATTGAAATTAAGAACTATAGTGACTTTTATTTTGTCTCTGATCATAAATATACTTCTGGAACTGAGAGTTCTATTCTAGACTCTGAGGCTCCTGTGAGTGATGATAATGAAGATCTTCATGATGTACTTGTTACATAACGTACGAGTACTTGTTACAGAGATTGCCAAATAGATTTTAAAACACAGAATAACTAGAAATGCAAGTGACGAATTGTTAACCATTTATACCAGTATAGTTATAATGTTGATTTACCAAAATGTACAAGGAAAATTTTAAATACTCCTAGGAATATTCCAAGCTAGTTAAAATGTGGGGGTAAATATTTTTACCTTGGTATTTCAAATGACAAATCAAGAACTTTAGCAATCAACCAGCATTACAGATTTGAGTCAAATGCAATTTCTTTAGTTGTCAATGTAGATAGCATTCCCTTATTAAAGTCATCTAGCACACATGTTCGGCCTATATTATGTATGTTTGACAAAGTGACACCAATTACTGTAGCATTATTTGTTAGTGATATCAAGCCAAATAATTGTAATGATTTTTAATATGATTTTTTGCATGAGTATGAGTTATTATTTGCAAATGGTTTTTAGTATTATATATATAACTTCAATTAATTCTTGAGAAAAGGTGTTGCTAATGTGCCAATAAAAAGTCAGAAAGTGTAAGCATAACCATTTTTAAAAAGATAGAGTCCCTTGAGGAATTTGATGAGCTTGAAACCAGATTAAAAGACAACGGGGAGAACAGTAAGTTGGTAATTTATATTTATAGTTTCTATTTTTAAAGTTTGTCTGTTTAATAGAATGCTATTTAAGTTCATCGTTTTCTTGATGAGCCTATTTAAATCATTCTTACATTTTACCACAATATGGTGTAAAAAGTAAATTCCTACTTATAAATCGAGAATTAACTTAGTGACCTGATAACCATTTACATTCTGTAGAGTTTTTTACAGTCTTGTATTTTTGTTAAACTATTTTGTCTTATATTTGGTTGAGCAATTATTATTTCGTTGCTTTGATAGAATAACTGTGAAAAACAATCAAGTAAATCTAATCCTGTGTTATTCCAACATGAAATTTTCTCTAAACTTTTATTTATGTTTTTAGCTTTGTCACCTCATAAAAGCAGGTGGAAAAATGTTAAAGAAAATACAAAAAATGTCATGGTCAGGTATGTATTTTTGTTTAACTCTGAATAATCAAACTGTTTAAATTGTGAGTAAATTTTATAGAAAGATCTAGCCCAAGGAAAGTAATTTAAAAAAACAAACAATTTTAATATTAATGTTTGGGCAGAACCTTATTGAATGGGACAAGATCAAATTTACATTTATAGATATCCAAACTCCTGTGGTAAGAAATGTTAAACACAACAATTTAACAGACCAAATCATCATTCCTCTCATGGTCTAAAAATGATGGGCCAAACATAATATTAGAAATGTTGCATTAATGGGAACTAATAGCACATTTGGAATGGTGGAAACATTTTTTTTTTGTTTAGGTGCAAGAAGTTAAGTTTAATTTATTTTTGAGCTTTTTTGTAAATTTAACCATTAACTCTCACATAGTGTGAGAGTAAATGGTTATCAAATAATTTTCAATGTATAAATAAGGCAACTTTATCAACTTTTAAAAAGCATTTTACAAAAACTGCCCCATTTATTTAGTTTCTCCCCTACTGGTTTCACTTTTAATTCAATGTTGAAGCTTTGAATTTATAAGTTTATAAAAAAATAAAGAACCTTTCCAAATTATACTTTTTGAATTATTACTCCAATGTGTATTTACAATTATTTAAATAAGTTTGCTGGATCACTTAATGTAACAAATAAAAAATGGAAAATAACAAAGTAGTTATTTTTCATTTATTATTTGTTATTACGTTTTTATAGAATTATGGAGCATCATGTTAAGCCCAAGTTCAATATGAAAAGCAAAATTCGTGGTGATATAAAGAAGGTATTATTCGAAAATAAAAAGTTGTGTAAAGTAATAATTTTGGTACGTTAATAATAGCTCTATCTATCCTTTCTTCCTTACATATGTTTTTTATTCTTATATATATATATATATAAGTCTTAAACCTTGAATGTTAGCATTGAAAATCAAACAAATAGTCAATTATAAACAAAATAAATTTTTAACTGTTATCCCGTTTATAATATCCCGTTTTGTATTTTAGAAGTCATCCAGCTAACGCACGAGAGTTCGACGGAAGCAAACAAAAGATCAAATAGGAAACATTTTAAAGTTCTCTTCATTAAACAATTATTTATTTTTGAGTTTTTTTGTAAATTTATAATACAAAAGAATAAAAAAATTAAAATTAAAATTTAAAAAAATCTTTAAAAACATTTATTGTATTTTTAGTTTGAATATCCCCAAAACTATTTTTCTAACCCTTTTAAGGGGTCAAAAACCTTTATATTAACTTTGAATAATGATTGTAATTGTGTTTAACACTTAATGTTAATATATACGGTTATATTCATATAATAAACATGACACGAAGTCGCGTATAAAGGGCTTTGGCTCAGGGTTATATGAATATAACAATAGCTATATTAACATTAAATATTACACAATTACAATCTTTATTTTACGTTAAAATGAAACGCCAATGTTTTTCTAACTTGTATTTACGTTAGTATAACGTTAATCTAACTTTAGAATTTTACGTTAATATAACGTTAATATCTAACGTAAATCTAACGTAAGAATTTTCGTTACAAAATCTTTCCATTTTGCCGAACTATAAATCTAACGTAAATAAAACGTTAATACAACGTTGTATGCCTGCTGGGATATTGATGGGTTTCATATCGATTTCATATGGAAATGTTTGAGAGGCTTAATAAAAAAATGGCGAATGGGTCATGAGGTTATGGTTTTGCTTTTCATATGTAATTGAAAAATTTACTGCCAGTGTACAAACTTGAAAATATGAAGAGTTCTTGTTTTACTAATGGTGACTTTTTTGATTGGAGTATTTTTGTTGGATAGACTGGGTGACATTTAAAAATCAATAAAACATATTCAGTCAGTAGTGACAACTGCGTGCTGAGCCAAAAGATATCAATGTGTATACATTTTTTTATCAAAACAGGTTGAGCAGGATAATGAATATTTTTTTGGTTCTTGTTTGGCTTCGTCAAAAGTTATAGGCTTCGTCAAAAGTTATAGGCTTCGTCAAAAGTTATATTACAATTAGATAGCCGTTTAATTTTTTAATTTTTCTTTTTTTCCATTATCTTAAGGTGTAAGTTAACTTTTGAGCAACTGATAGGTAGATATCTTTTCTTGTCTTTTTAACTGTTTCATTTATTATATTTAAACTGTCAAATAACACTTTTCGGTTTGACATTTCACTCGGTTTGACATTTTACATACCCAATTAAAACTTAAAATTTGAACAAATTATTGAAAATAATAAAAACTATGTTTTTACTTTGAATATACGACATCTACTTAACGCGTAATGACAAAGCCGTCAAAAAGAAGTCATAATGACATATTTATAAACAGGTCTCAGAAAAGACGTCTATTAGCCTTGATCTAGACGTCTTTTAATGCGTCTTTTAGACTATTTATTATGCGTCTTTTAAACGTCTTTTTAAACTTTAAAAAGACGTCATTTTAAAAACGCCTTTATAAAAGACGTCTAGAAGATGTCTTAAAAATTGACGTCTTCTAGACGTCTTTTTATCTTTTAAAAAGACGCCTTTTGAATGTCATTTCAAAAACGCATTCATAAAAGACGTCTAAAAGATGTCTTCAAAACGTCTACAAAAGTGCGTCTTTACCTAGACATGTTTTAGTCGTCTATAAGTGTCTAAAATGCGTCTTGTGCTTACTGGGTAGTGTTTTAGGAATTTTAGGTGTATTGGTTACATACTAAGATAAGAAATTATTGTTCTCTTTTTTAACAGCTTCAAAAACTTTGCCAACTGCAGTTTTTTCGCAGGCAAGCGCTAAACTATAATATTATTTTCAAAGGTTACTTTTTTTCAATTCTAAACTAATATGTGAGACATGACCATCAAGAAAGATTTTAATTTTATTTGCATGAGGTGTTACAAAAATATTCATTTATTTATAATCTTTGCCGTTTAATAAAATTTACAATAAAAAAGATCGTATATATAAAATAAATCGCCGGAGTAATAAGAAGACGTATATTGTCTTATCGCCGAGCCCCGTTCACATTGTCGCTTTTAGTTTGTTACAGTTAAAATTAAAAGTTAAAATTTTACAAGTTGGAGACGACTACGATATAACAGCTGACGACAAACTATGACGTAACAGCTGCTTAACATTCAATTAGCACTTTTTTTTTTAATTTTTATTTAGGTGTCCCAAGAATTCCTTACGCTCTTATCACCGAGCATTGCGGGTGAGCATTTAATTGGAAGTACACGCCTCCTTACTAACCATGTCGCAAAACTTGCCCAGATGTGGAGTTTGAACCACGGTTCTTTTGTTTCTAGGGCAAGTGTGCTACCACTGCGCCACGGCTGCTCGATATATGCATGCAGTTATCAGCAAAGTACATATGTCGAACATAAGGTTTTTATTAATAATTTTTCTTGCTGAAATTTTTATTAAATAAAAAATTTAACAAGCAAACACTAAATATGTTGGAAAATTAAAAACTATGAAAACAATTTTCAATACCAGGACAAATATGATGTAAGTATCAAGATCAAAGTCTGTAGAAGAAAATGGTTAACAAGAGTTAGATTTCACCTAATGTACGACAGAACATTTTTGTTATAACGGTTAACAAGTCAGCAGTAGAACGATAGGATCAAAATCTGTATAAATCAGGAGCAGGTCCAGAACCTTATGGCCTACGAGATAGCTAACCTCCAGACACGGAGCGAACTCCCAACAAGTATATGTTTATACTTATGTCAACTGAGGATGCTTTGCAATATATTGCCCCTCAGTTTGAGCTTACTCGTATCTTTAAAGTGAGAGGAAGAGTGTGACTATTTGGTACAATATATGAATTAGAGAAAAAGGTTACAGCATTTATTAAGTTTATTATATAAACAATCAATTTCGGCTAAAAAATCTTCAAAAAAATTAGTATATACATATGAATATATATATATATATATATATATATATATATACATATATAAATATATATATATATATATATATGTATATAGATATATATATATATATATATATATATATATATATATATATATATATACATATATAATATACATATATATAAATATATATATATATGTATATATATATATATATATATATATATATATATATATATATATATATATATATATATATATATATATATATATATATGTATATATATATATTCATATATTCATAAAATAAGCTACATTTATTATAGATAAAATGTTAACTTTTATATAAAAGTTAACATTTTTTAAGTTAGTTATTCTCAAACTTAGTCGTATATATCTATAGTTAAGTTAATTTTATGTTGTTTTAATAGTTACTAAATGTTTAAATCTCAATAATAATTATTTATTACATATAAATAGCGTAAGCGGCCGTCCATTAAGCCTACTTGTGACCCTTCTATCCTTGTGTGATTCCCCCTCATGTCTCTTTTTCCCCTTGTTATCTTGACCTCCTCTTTTTCTCTTTTGCGTAACATTATTTATAGATTTAATATTTGCAACCTAATGCTTATTAAAATCTTAAAAATAATTGTTCTAAATAAAAAATTTATCTAAAGTATTAACCTATTATATCTAAATTTTTCTAACTTAAATTATCTAAAGTAATAACTAAAGCAGCGTACGCTACTTTAGTTACACAGGCCCGTAGAAACCGGGTGGGCAGCAGAGGCATTTGCCCCCCAATAATTTTTTAAATAAACAATTTTGAAGAAATTGACTGAAAAAATGACTTGAAAAAAAAAAAGTTCCTTAAAACTATTTGAGGGTAGTATTGCCCCTAATATAATTTTTGTTCCTACGGCCCTGTTACGCCCATAGTGAAATTCTTCTATTTTAAAAATTACTAGAAGAGACGCCATTTAAAACCATTCCCTTAAGTTCAGATAAAACTGGATAAACTCAATTATAAGTAATATTTAAGAATGTCGGTCACGGCAACAGTTTGGGGCGCTTCACTAGGGAAGGGGGGCACTACAAGAAATTTTGCATATCAGACGACTAGATATATAAGTTTAAACCCGGAATATCCGTATCTGGCCGGATAAGTAAAAAATCATATCCGGTACACCTCTAATTTTCTCCCACTTGCTATAAATTAAGAAATTTTTGGATACGGATGTAACGAAAACAATTTTATTTTTACGCGCCAAGTAATTTAATTTTCCTCAACTGGTTTCTGAACTATCTTTTTACAAATAAAATAACTTATTACCAAACTCGTTGATAGACTCCATCCATGATGCATCTTATGATCTAAAAATTCACACTTGGGTTCATAATGTGTAAATCTAAAATTCCAGTTTACAACGTATACCTTCTGATGACTGATGCCTTAAATATATACATAATTCATTAAAAAAATTGTATCAAGTATGTCAGCCACCTTGGATCCTATGGTTTTTATCCGCTATTTTTTCCATGGAAGGCAAATGGCTGAAAAATTTATTAGATTTCAGATGGAAGACCACTTAAATATTTTTTCTTTGAATCCTTTTGTGTTAGGTGCAGCACAAAATATATCAGATAAGTTGCGGAATATGGATTTGAATGATTTAAATGTTGACCTAAATCTTTATCAGTTTTATAACCGTTTTAGAGTTGCTGATTGAACTTTTCATGCTTATCATTATGGTAAAAAATTAAAATCAGCTTCATATTATGCATATTTAATAGAATTTAATGTGATTGTGAAAATTTTGTTTATTGCACATAACCAAAGACAAATCTTGTGTATATGTCGATTGTATAAAAATGTAAGTAAGTTTTATCGTCATATGGATTCTTTTAATATTCCTATCAAAATCAAGCATGTTTTGTCAAAAATATCTCCTTATTTATTGTTGAAAAAGTGTGGATTAGCTGTTTTTGATTCAAGCAAATTTACTCACTACGCTCTTGTAAAAAAAACAAAGAAATTTTATTATAGTGTTGTTATTCAAAATAATTATGAACATGATTAGGTTTTATTTCTATTTTTTAAAGTTTGAAATTGTATTATGTTTTTTTGTATTATTATATATTTACTTTACAATATTTTTTTTATTAGAAGTTGTTATTTAGGATTCTGTTTGCAATCAATTAATTAATGAAACATCAAACTTAATTCATAATGGCGACAAGAGTTTGTTGTTTACAATGATCTAAAACAGATTTCTTTTTGTACCATTTTGACTTTGTGTAGTGTTTCTTTTAAGAATTAAATAAGTTTGTTAAGAGAAAAGAAATCATATCCACCTGTTATCGCGGATAACAGGTGGATATGATTAATATCTATTAAAGTAATTAAATATTTATTTTAGATACAATTATTAATTGTTTTTTGTCAACTGTAAATTTTCCTTTTTTTTATATGTATATAAAAATAATATGTGTATATATATGTGTATATATATATATATATATATATATATATATATATATATATATATATATATATATATATATATATATATATATATATATATATATATATATATGTGTATATATATATATATATATATATATATATACACATATATATATATATATATATATATATATATATATATATATATATATATATATATATATATATATATATATATATATATATATATATATATATATGTATATATATATATACACACACGAGGCTTATTTAAATTCTTTTAATTTAACTTAGTTTCATATTTTCATACACTTTTTTTTTTTTTTGAAATTTTAGATTATAATAGCTTTGAAACAATGATAATGAAAGTTTTTTCATCGTTCTAAATTTATAGTAAGTTAAATATGCTTTTTTGTTATAAAATATATGTTATTATGTTGTTAAATTACATTAATATTTTTATAAATTACGTTATAGCTACAGTTATGGTCGTAAAAGATTAAGAAAAATCTTATGGGTGCAATTATTCCACTGACACCTGCGAAAAATACCAAAAGAACTGACCATCGCTGTTTATTGTATTTTTTTAAATGTTTTAGTTAAACAATCTAACACTTAATTATTTGTTATTTTTATTATTGTTTCATAAATAAGCGTCCTTATTGCTTAGCGACTAGTTAAGTTATATTATAAGGATTACATTTTCAAGAAGATTCTGTGTTTAAGTAAAAATTATTATTTTTACTTAAACTCGTATATTTCTTGAAAAACAAGCCTACTAATATATCTATGAAATCTTTAAAACTCAAATAATTAAATAAAACCCTAATAAACATGAATTTAACTAAAAAAACTATTAACTAAAACTAGAAAGTAATACTTAACCGAGAAAAAAAAACCTACTAATCCTGTTAAGTACATACTCAGTTCCGAGTAAAAACCCTAGTAATACTACTAAGTTTCCTTCTTAAAACTTGCTAATCCTACTAAGTTTCCTACTAAAAACTTGCTAATCCTACTAAGTTTCCTACTAAAACTTGTTAATCCTACTAAGTTTCCTACTAAAACCTGCTAATCCTACTAAGTTCCTAGTAAGTACTCGGCGGGAACTTACTAAGTTTTAGTAGGAAACTTATTAGGAACTTAACAGGATTAGCGGTTTTTTTTTTCTCGGGTATAATTTCGAATATGATTACCGAAATACCGGTATTGGTTTGGCTCAATACCGGTATTCTTTCTTTTTTTTTTTTTATTTAAGGTGCCCCAAGAAGTCCTTACGGTCTTATCACAGAGCACCGCGGAAGAGCATTTAATGGGAAGTTCACGACTCCTTCCCAACCGATGTCGCAAGACTTGCCCATTAAAAATATGTCCGATGAAAAAAATAAACCGATGTCGCAAGACTTGCCCATTAAAAAGTATTAAAAATATATGTATAGGGCTTATGATATAGCAGGTGCTATCGCCCTCTTTACGTGAAACACTAAAGTAAATGAAATACTTAAAACTTTCAACAACGCTTCCGGTAGGAAAAAGATAGCTAGATGAAAAAAGACGTGTTTAAATTGTCTAAAACAAGTATTCTACGTACTTTATACTTGATATCTAGTTGCCAGCTCATTTCCCACTAAGTTTGGTATGAAATGAGCTAGCAACTAGCCAGCGAACAGCTAGCTAGTCGCTACCTGTGGGTAAAAGACGCGTTTAAGACATATAAAATACGTAGAATACTTGTTTTAGACAATTTAAACAGCTATGTTAAACTAGCTATCTTTTTCTTACCGGAAGCATTGTTTGATCGTGACTAGAAGTTTTAAGTATTTCATTTACTTTCGTGTTTTCATAAAATAATGAAGCACCAATTTAAAATATTATCCTTACTTCACTCGCTTTAATGTAGAACGCCTGTTTGAATTTTGCACTAACGTAAATATGAAAAGTTTCGGTAATGTAGAAAGTGGGGCGTTTAAGTAACTGTTATCAACAGTTACTTAAACGCCCCACTTTGTGCATTAGGCATGGAATTCAACTAGGTATTCAAGATATTTTGTACAAAAAATCGTCAATTTCTGCAAAAAAAACTTGAAAGTAATATGCAATAACAGAGAAAGTGACAAGGAAATACTGATGACACAAACAAAACTAATAATGATGAAGACTTTCCCGGCGGGTTTCAAGTTGTAATGAGTGAAGAGAATGACTCTATTGAACTGACTGATGATCTGCAGCCGTTAATCAAAAAGGTGCGCACCGTTGTGAAATTTTTATTTTTCCGTTCTCCGACAAAAAATGATCAAAATTCAAAAACGCACGTTAGAAAAATTTGATAAAGATATTCCACTAATACTTGGATCCAAAACTAGCTGGGTTAGCTTGCACACAGTACTTGAACGTTTTGTATAATTAAAAAAATGCATTCACGAGTCACTTTTTGCCCTTGAGTCCAAAGTTGAGGTAACTAATAATGATTTCGATGCAATATTAGCTGTTAACTTATGTCTTGCGCCAGTAAAACTGGCTGTGGAAACATTGTGCCAAAATCATGCAATTCTGTTGTGTGCCGATACAACATTTTCATGATAGATAACCTTGGAGAAACCGATTTAGCTGTAAAGTTATGTTGGTGCAACAGTTCAATGAGCAACGTACTCTTTTTCCAGGATACAACATTTTTTGCATAAAGGACATCAACGTTACAAGAATTTGGATCTAGCTCTATCTTTTGAGCACCATAGCAAATTAGTTATTGCAAATACCATTACTCGACTGAAAGATCGGCTAAATCAGAAAGGGTATAGTCCTTTCCCTTTCACCAGCGTTTTTTCCGATAATGATTCTGTGGACAACGCTGTAAACTTGTCATTGAAAAAAAAGCTTGACTTTGCAATTTTGAAAAATAGGAAATGTAACAACAAGGGAAAATTGAATGTTTCGAATAATTCATCAAAAATTATATGTATTGAAATAGGAATTTTTGAAGAAGGAGGAAATCGTTGAATATATTTGCAAAATTCCTACCATTACTTGAAAACTGTGAAGCCAACAAAATTAGAGTATCTTTTGAAGATGATGTTCTGAATGCTCTATGTTTTTTACGTGCTCATTTTACTAAGCAGAAAAAAACGAAAAATGAAAAAGTCAGTAGTTTTGATATAAAACAAATAAGCTGATTGAATCAATAAAAATTTTACTATTAACTTGAGATTTTATTTAGATTATGATGAATTTAAAAATAAAGTTTAATATCGGTATTATACCGGTATTACCGGTATTGTAATTATTTATTACCGATATACCGGTATTGAAAAATGGTATCGGTATTGGAAGCACTATGCGTTTCTGATGGCGATATAGAAATCGTTACAATTGAAATTTTAAACAATAAAAGCGAAAAGTTAAAAAGCAAAAGCATTCTACTAAGTTGTTGTTATAGACCACCTGGTGGTGCGTCAGAAAATATAAGCTTATACTTAAAGCACAACATTTTTCATGAAGGTAACAAAGAAAAGAAAAAAAAACTTTGTAATTGACGATTTAAATACGGATTGCTTACGATGTAGCAAAAACAAAAAAATAAAAAAAATTTATGATGAAATATTTGTATCAGGAGCAATACCGCTTATCAACCGGCCTACTCGAATAACAGAAAACTCAACCACTCTTATATCAATATTTTAACAACAAATATATATGACAATGACATTCAAACAGGCATTATAAAATCAGATATGTCAGACCATTTCCCCATTCTTCTAACAATTAACAAATTTCAACTCTTAACATTAATAAAAGTCAAACTATAAGAAAACGTATTTAAAAAAAAAAAAATTTAGAAGCATTTAAATATCAATTATCATTGTTAAACTAGAAGCATATAAATTTTAATGAAGACATAAATGTAATCTATAATAAGTTCTTTAATACATTCTTCTCGGTGTACGATGCGAATTTTCCCGTTTCCGAAATAACCTTAACACGAAAAACCTAAAGTAGTCCTTGGATTACCAAATCTTATAAAATCTTTTAAAAATTAAACAAAAATTGTATATAAAATATTTAAAAAGATAATCTCATGCTAATTTACGCATATATAAAAATTACAAAACTCTATTTGAAAAAATTCGCAAAAACCTAAAAAAAAATTATTACTCTAATTTAATCACTAAATATAAAAATGACTCAAAACAAATATGGAAATTATTGAAAGAAATAACGGGAAAACAGAAAACCTGTTCAAATTTCCTTCCGAAAATGATTCCGAAAAAGATAAACAATGTATGTGTATATGAACCAAATGAAATAGCGAAAGAATTTAATAAATACTTTACTGATATCAGAAAGTAGGTTTGCTGATAGGATTCCATCTACAAATATTTCCTTTAATGATTTTTTGACAACTTCAAATAATTTACTTTCTTCCCATGATTTATTCCTAGACTTATCGATTGAAGAGTTTAAAAGAGCCTTCAAATCTTTAAAAAAAAAAACAAAGCAATCGGTGCGGATGGAAAAAACGGGAACATTATAACAGATTGCTATGAAAGTTTGAAAAATATTCTATTTAAAGTTTTCCAAACATCTATACAACAAGGGGTTTTCCCTGATCTATTAAAAATTGCCGTTTTATAAAGAAGGAGAAAAATCAAACGTAAATAATTATCGGCCTATTTCTATCCTTCCTACGTTTTCAAAAATATTACAAAAAATTATCTTCGGAAAAACATACAACTACCTGGTTTCAAATAATTTACTATATAAAAATCAATTCGGCTTTGAAAAAAATAGTTCAACTGAACAAGCCATTATTCAGTTTACACGTGAAGTCTCAAATTCTTTTGCTAAATCACAATATACACTTGGTGTTTTTGTCAATTTATCAAAGGCTTTTGATGCAGTCAATCATGATATCTTACTTGAGTTCTACGGAATAACTGGTAAAATGATCAAATGGTATAAAAGCTACTTGTCAAATAGAAAGCAATTCGTCTACCACGGAGAAGCATTGCTTCCTATTAATCTTCAAAATAAAACATTAATTGAAATAAAATGTGGTGTTCCACAGGTTCTATCCTTGGTCCACTTCTCTTTTTAGTATACATCAACGATCTAAATAAGGCCATGAATCTTATAAGCATCATGTTTGCCGACAATACCAATTTATTTTTGTCAAACAAAGACATTAACAAACTTTTTTTAGATATGAATAAAGAATTTAATCAAGTTTCTAACTGGTTTAAATGCAATAAATTAATCTTAAATATTGACAAAACAAAGTGGATCCTTTTCCACTCCTCAACAAAAAAACGCTTTTTGCCTTATGATTTACCTAAACTTTATATTGACGAAGTAGAAATAAAAAAAGATTCCGTTTTAAGATTTCTTGGTATTTATCTTGACGAAAATATGACGTGGAAAGCTCATACTGATTATATATCAACAAAAGTTGCGAAAAGTATTGGTATCCTCTATAAGGCCAGAAATTATCTAAATAAAAATAATTTAAAACAACTATACTACTCATTTATTCATAGCTATATAAACTATGCAAATATTGCCTGGGGAAGTACAGTTAAAAGTAAGTTGCAACAAAGTAAGTCTTTACCGCCATAAGAAACATGC